CACGGACACGTTTCAACGAGTTCATAGAACTCCTAAATGCTCCGTTGGTAGACAAATTACAAAATTTTAGCAGACATCTAAAAGCTCGGGGTCTACAACTTAATGGAACACTCTTGCTACGTTAACTTAAAGTGACCAGCTAAAATACACCTAGAAAAGACGAAAGTACCACAGTGCCTTCTATTCTCACCCAACTTCGTTCCAGGGCTTGGGGACGGGTAGAAGAGGTTGATTCTCACCTTCCACAACTTGAAAGCATTTACGACATCCTCTCGGGCCGATGAACTAGGGCAGGTGTGTTCTATAAACAGTCTTACAGCGCTCACTCTTTGCCATGTTGACCTGTTGGGATAGCAAAAATAAAGAAGAGAATAGCATGGAAAATAATAATCATCATAATTTGAAATTCTGGACGTCAGTCACTTTCCTATCGATCGCCACGTTTCAAGAGCGTCCTGCTGATCTTTATCAGTTGTGTTTTGATCATCGCCTGATAAAGACCAGGGAAAAGAGGTCTAAACCACTGTGAAATGAAAGATCAAGGCACCTATTATGAAGAGAACGTATTTTATACAAACCTTTTCACTCGAAGATCACGTCAATCTAAGTTCTTTATCTTTGGATGAAATCCCATAGTATTACTATTCACATGAAGCCTCTGTGGCAGAACGTTTTCACACTGCTATTTATTTCGCAGAATTTGCAAAAAGAAATTTGAATTTCTCTTTGGCCTTTATCAGTAGTGAAAGAGCTATTGCAAGAATTGTAAATCTACAATACTTGTTTTTAGGCTGTCCTTAGTGTAATAACGATTTACCAGAGATTTACAACAGATCATCAGGGTCGTTTTTCAAGGTATCACTAAATTACTCGTAGGATAACGTTACAGTTAATGCTTGTCGGTCACAGACCTGCAATGATTAAGAATCCGAGTTGATTTAGGTCCATACTGTGATTTGCTGTAAAGCATGTTTTCGGCGCTTGATCTGATGGACAGGACTCTGTTGCACCATACTAAGCGAGTCTGAGAATCGGCAAACTCCTCTGCTTTTGGTTCAAGCTGTGACAAACACAACTCAAGGGCAACTGCATCAAGGACCTAAATGTTGGGTACAAGAAGTTAAAAAAACAGTCATGGGTAGCCCAGAGGAACGGGCTTTAGAATAGTCACAGCAAGGATTTCCGGGAGTAAATGTTTTGTGCAAAGAGTAGGATTTCTCGGTTCGCAAATCACGAGGTTAGTAGTCAGGGGCTACTACACACTCCTACAGCACAGCCCTGAAGATCCGTGAAATAGACGGTCAGACAATGTTATCCGACCATGTTCGAGTTTGATAGCTTTCTTCATTACATTCACTGTTTCGGGACAAAGTTAGTGCTGGTTGTGCTGTCGAGTTTCGTTGCATAAGCTTTGTGAAAACACTGTGGAGTAGGGAGTAATCGCTAATGTATCTATGAAAGAAAGTGTTCAATAGGGTTATTGGTCGGCTTTTCATGCAAGTCAATTCACAGAAAAAAAAAACAACATATTCCTTTTTGGAATTATTCTGTAGCTTTTCTGAAGGAAATAGGTGCATTACTTCCTACAAACCACACGACAACTACTACTTTCTTCAAATTAACAGAAATTATTATTCATTCAAAATATTTCCCCAATTCTGATTGGCTAAGAGCCCACGCATAATTCACCATAACCAGTTACTGATGACGAGAAAATGACGTCAAAAATGCAGCCCGCTACAGGTTAAGGTACCGTCGCCGAGAAGACCTGGAGACGAGGTTGAGTTGTTTTGGTTGTGAAAAAAAAAAAATGGCGTACATTTCACTCGTTTCAAGAGTAAGACCTACAGCTGGAACTAGGTGAAATAATAACTAAAAACATAGCAAAAACAGCAAGAAGACAACTCGGAGGGCGACATCTTCTATTTGGAGAATATTTGCGGAGCTGGACAAACCTAGACGTACAGTATCGAAGATGAACTTAACATCGATGCAGGTAAGCATGTTTCAGCTATGTTTTTAAACTAGGAATTATTTTGAATGAATAATCTAGCAATTAATGAATTCGGCTTTCGTAGGATATGAAGAATTAAGCAGATCTCGGAGGGTGTTATAACATCCTGGCCTCGATTTGCTTAATTCTTCATATCCTACTCAGCCTCATTCATTAATTGCTAAGTCTTACAGGCAGTGTGTTTCACCAAATATATATTTTTAGTGCTGAGTAATTTTTGTGAGTGCAGAACACTTACATTACGATTACAGTTTTAAAGTACACTTCGAAAGATTCGAAGTAATAACAAAACGTAGCTTCGGGTATGTGCCAAAAAAAAGAAAACCGGCTAGTAGATTGCTTAGTTTCTGTCCTGTGCCCTCGAATGCCCAGTCACGGGACATATTAATTATTAGACTGCCTAACTTATACCCATTCTTACCATCTCCTCTTCGTTGGGCGGAATGACTTCTAGAAGACGGCTTACAATGTCCCGCTGCGCATGTACCAGTTGGCTGAAATTTGCCAAGCGTTTCTCGATGGCGTCATACACAACATGGATAAGTGGGATGTCGAGATCAAACTCCTCTGAAAAATTCGAGTCGACATACCATTCGCGAGCGGCCGTGACAATAGCCTGTCGGAGTAGCTAAAACGAAATCCAAAAAAGGCTAGTGGTGAGCTCTTACCAATATATAGATTTAGCCAGGGCTAAAAGCGAAGCTTCCATTAATAAATTTATAATTTAAATCAAACAATAAACTTGTAATCCACAAATCAGTTAACTTTAAGGGAAAGCTAAGGCTAAGTGATTTTAGAGTGAAAAAAAAATCTTACATCGAATTGATAGCCGTATATATACACCCAAAAAATAGCAATTATCTTCGATCACATTTTGGAGCCATAATGGCTCTTGATCACAGTAGATTTGGCCTGGAAAACGAATTTTTGGAAAACAAATCAGGCCGAATTTTTTGCGTTGGACAAGTTTAATTAACAAAATCTTGCCAACAACTCTGGGAGCGTGTAAACCAACATTTTATACTTTTTATACATCACATCTGAAACAGTAATATGAGGCGTTGTTTTTATCATATAGACCTCAGACAAAATGCAGTACTTCACGATTTTTCAAGACAAATTGCACTAATTCAATATTCAGAACCGTACGAAGCACGCGTGGGTTTTTAGCAAAACCGTTCAAAAAATTTCCAAAATCACCTATACGGCCAGCCGGTTCTCACTTTTGACAAGCGCCAAATTTTCAGTGAACATTAAAAGAGTTACGCTTCAACATAATAAAGAATTTATTGTGTTTATTTTTTTTATTAAATGGTTTTATAACGATGTGTAATCTTAAAAAGCGTTTGATACGAGCAGCATTTTGAGTACTCCTGCAAGCGTTGTTTATGAACGACTGAAAACAAACGGCAAAGCGATTAAAATTGTAAGAGACTACTAACAATCAATAAAAGAAATGTAATTCGGTGAAACATTTACAGAGACAACAATTTTCATTTACGAAGACAAGTATTAAAGCGTCTCTAAAAATCCTGAGTCTTTAAGCTTAAGCTTAAAGCTTTTAGCCGGCTTCCTGGTGTTTACTGTTTTCAAAGATGAACTCGAAGCAAGAAAATCGCTCAAAGCTTTCTTTCTACAGTCAACATTATAACTAAATACTCTTCGGAACGTTTTTTCGTTCTATATGCGGAGAGAAAATATCGACTAAAGGCTTTTTAAAGTTCTGTAAACTTATATATACTAGATCAGATCATTGTCTCAGATCTTAGTACTAACGTGCATAAATTAGCCTCATAAACTGCGCTCGACTTCATGAAATTAGATATAAAAAAACAAACATACACTGTATACAATAATTACTTAGGCTTACCATTCGAGATGCAGCTCTTGAAAGCTATAAAGTAAGGCCAGAATCGCTTGAGGGACTTTTCAACCCGCATCCAGCAAGGTAAAAACGAAAGCGATGCATCCGAAATCGGATTTCCAACTTTGGCAACCGGCGCATTTCCCGACCAAAAATTCAATAAACAAACCAGCCATGAATCAAAGAAGACTGTTGATAGCAGCTGTATTTCATTTTAAGCATCCAGTGGAAAAAGACAGTAAAAAACATCACAAGTTGACAAAATACTCTGTCAGCTTCAGCTGTCAAACTGAAAGTAAACAAGGTTCAAGATGCTGTATAAATCAGTTTCTGCATGAACTCACCTGTCAAATTTTGACCAATCAGAGCATAAAAATTGGACGGTCGTAGAGCGCGATCAACGCGTGACTATGGTGAGAAAAGTGAAAAGCCTCTGTCTTCCCTGCTTGTATTTTTAAATGACTGGCTGAATTTTCGAGTCCGAGATCAGTTTGAAATCAAAATGTTAATAGCGCGGAGCCATAGGGACATTAACACAACACTTTCTGTCATCATGTCATTATTTTGCTGCCGTTCTCTTTGCCTTTGTATTTCTCTTTCGCGTTGCCTTTGTCTGTTCATTCTAGCTCTGTCTCGTTCTGCTTGCCGGCGTTTTTCACTATAATTTTCTCTCCTTCTTCTCGCTCTGACTCTTTCTACTTGCTTTCTTTTTTTCAAAACCAGTTGCGCGATATAATTGCGCGACGTTGCGCCATGCGATTTCCTGCCAAAAAATCTCTACTTTCCCCTACCCCAAGAGTCCATGCGGACTACTTTCCACTACCCGGAAAGTCCGTACGGACGGACGTACGCTACGTCATAACCAAATTTTCTGGGATGGATAGTTTACCAAATTTTCTTACCCATGGTGCTCCGCTGCGCGCGCGCTTCGCGCGCGCGGGAGCTCCGCTAATATATTGTTGCAGTGTCTACAAGAAAGATTTGCTTGACTTGTAACCCTCATTAACAATAAGGTCCAGTACCATACATGACTTAAAATAAGACATTGGACAGATTAAGAGTCACGTTTACGGTGAACGGCAAACGTCAGCAGTGCTTGGCTTTCAGAAAAAAATCTTGGGGCCAGCTGGCTCCCGCGTTTTCATTTTTGGTCGCCAGAACAAGTATTCTAGTCGCCAAAAATTATATTGAAGAACGGAATACAATAAACTTAACATGTTTTACTTAACCTCAACAGGAAAAAGAATGTTTTTTTTGTTTTAAATCTCCTCAGACCGGTATTCAAGCTTAAGGTTCAGGAAATGGAATACACATTTACATAAACAAACTTTAGGAATCCCCAAAAAACTTATTTGGGTTATTAATTAAAGACAAAATCTGCAAAATTTGTTTTGCGTCTCATGTATTTGCATGTTCAGAAATGAACATCGGTGAAACTTGATCTATTTCGCGGTTGCCTAGCACGTGATCGAAAGTCCCCAGAAAGAGAAAACGTCGCTAATATTTTCGGGCAAAGAAGTTGATTTCGCGAGAAGTCTGTTAGACAAACTGCATGAGTTCAACGGTACTTCATTAGAAGTCAATTAAATACGGCAGAGCTTTTATTTGGGTCGCCACGCTCAACAGAAATTAGCGTAAAGTTGTTTACAAGAAGCTCGAGAAGTAAGCGCTGTTCGTTCTCGATTAGCTTAAGTTTTTATCAGACTAATCTGCTATCGAGTCCGCAATCGAGATACATGTTCGACATAAAGAAATTGTTTTAAATCGATGCGCTAAAAGTCATTCCCGGAGAAACACGGGACGACCTGTTAAGAATTGCGATCGATTTATCGAAGTCGATAAGACTTCCGTCGAATTCATCACTTGTGATTTTCACAACCTCTTTCAAGTAAAAGTCAAACGTGAGACGGACCAACTGTTAGATTATAAGAACAATTCGTTACAGTGTTGGAAGAAATCGTTAAAGCGTTTAGACAAATTGTTAAAACGTTTAGACAAACCGTTAGAGCGTTTGGGCAAAACGTTAGAGCGTTAGAAAAACCGTTAGTTATCCTTTAGTTTTGTAAAGGATAACAAATTATCATTAGTGTACGTTTTCCCAAAGAAGAAAGTCACCTATCTTGGGGGCCAGGTCGGCGACCAGGCCTGAAAATCTAGTCGCCACTGAGTAAAGGCGTTTCGCATTGGCGACCCCACAGGTCGCAACGTCAAGCCCTGGTCAGTTTCAAGTTGTGAAATTCTCAAAATAGAAAATAGGCATGTAAAAACGGCTCAAAACAATTTTTATGGATAAAAAAACCCTAGTGTATAATGCAAAATAATGTTAATCAGTTGGATCGTGAAAGGAGCTGCAGGGTAGGAAAACACTAGTAACATTCCAGAAATTATGCCTGATACCTTTTCCTCTTCAGGGACTAATGGCTTCAGCACCATGTGAACAAAATCATGAAGATAACGCTCAACGGCAGCTTCTTTACAACCTAACCAAGACTCGTCGAGAAAACGGCCCATTTCATTATTGTTTACAAGGTCATGTAAACACTGTTGAATTGGCGTGTTTGATCCCGCTAAGGACAAAAAAGACACAATACTACCAAGATCAGATCGTAAACGTTTTTCAGAAACAATATGAAAAATGAAACAACTCTTTTTTAAAAGAAAGAAAGTGTCTCACCCGCTATACTTGAAGCCTCCCTCCACATGGCATCGATTCTTTCTTTAATTATCCAAGAGAAAGGAAACTGCAACTCAAAAGACTGCTTTTCACGACCCGAGGTGACCACAAAAACACGTTCTCGTATGATACCACTTTCCAGTGACAAAAAGCTCTCATAATGAAGTTCGACCATGTTTTCACTTTGGAAAACCCCTAGCCAAAGACTTGACAACCAATTCCCTCCATCCATCACCAGGTCTAGGTTGGAGTCACGGTCAACAAAAGCGATAACTTCAGAAAGAATTGGGATAACGGATGAATAGACTCTTTGCCACAGGGCTTTCCTGAATGTTCCATTTTCTTGGATTCTAGTACCGCTTAAAGCCTCAGAGCGTAGCCAGTCATTTGCCTTAGTTCCAGCCCGCTCATCCTTTTCTTGAAGAAGTTTGTGGATTCGACGAGCCAAAATAGTAGCAAATGACAGATCTAGAAAGCAAGAAGAAAAAATGTTGCTGACATGGTCAATTGGTTACTAGAAGCCATTCAAACCATGAAGAGAGATCCTTGTTGACAAAACGCTTAGCACAGGCAGTTGTCTAAGGAATCGCAGTGACGTCACACTGTTTCATACTTTGTAAGGGGTCAACTGACTTGGCATAATGTTGTGAAACTTGAGACAATCATAACAAGGAAATAATTAAAGATAATTGAGCGCCGCTCTTACCAGTCCCCTCTGTTCTACCATCTGGAAGAAGACTCAACATAAGCTCAATTCGCTCCGTTGATCGTGATGAACGCCATGGTTCATCATCAATTCTTGCAACAGCTGATTGAATACAGCTTCTCAAAAGGCTGACAATGTCTACTTTATCCACGGTGACATCACCAGAAGTTAGATCTGAGGCTTCCATCTCAATGTCAATGCCTTCTTCACGCTGTTCGTCGACTTCCATGTCATCTCTCGCTGCCTCAACGTCCATTTTTTCTACCCGTGTGGTGCTTGGTGCAACATCAAATAACTCACTCACTGACCGATCCACCATGAATTGAATGGCTGGGATGTGACCGGTTGGCGGTCGAAGTTCGTCAATGTGAACAGACAGCCACCTTCCTCCCTGGAAACCAGCAAATGCTTCACAGCCTGCGACAAGACGAGGAAGTTGAATAATCATAACTACATGCACAAATGATGAAGGATCATGCCCAACATTTTCTTTGAAATCTTCTTCTGCAGTTGTCCTTTGTTCCACAAGAAGGTGTCGGGCACAGGGTATCAAATTACGATTGACGTCTCCAGCATCGCATTGCACGATAAGCAGTCCTTTTCTTCCACCAACTTTAACAAAGAAATCCCTAGAAAATCACAATGTGATAATTAGCAATTAATGAATGAGGCTGAGTAGGATATGAAGAATTTTGGCCTCGGTGGATAGCACCCTCTGAGATCTGCTTAATTCTTCATATCCTACGAAAATCGAATTCATTAATTGCTATATTATTCATTAAAAAAAATCCTAGTTTAAAAACATAGCTAAAAAATGCTTACCTGCATCGATGTTAAGTTCATCTTCGATAGTGTATTTTTAGATTTGTCCAGCTCCGCAAATATTCTCCAAATAGCAGATGTCGCCGTCCGAGTTGTCTTCTTGCTGTTTTTGCCATTTTTTAGCTATTATTTCGCCTAGTTCCAGCTGTAGTTCTTACTCTTGAAATGAGTGAAATGTCCGCCATTTTTTTTTTCACAACCAAAATAACTCAACCTCGTCCCCAGGTCTTCTCGGTAACGGTGCCTTAACCTGTAGCGGGCTGCATTTGTGACGTCATTTCCTCGTTAAACACAAAATTCTTCCAAATTTGGTCATCAGTAACTGGTTATGGTAAATTATGCGTGTGCTTTTAGCCGATCAGAATCGGGGAAAACTTTTGAATGAATAATAACATGCAATAATAGTCTCTGAGTTAAACATTTCGGCTGGACTGTTGTTAGGGAGCTTAAGCAACCACGACGGCAAAGGCTGCAATAACGGCACATCGCTCTTAATCCATTTCGTTTAATTGGTCAAAATAAGGTATATTTTTTTTCTGGAGTTGTCAAGGAAGTACTTGTGACATAAGGACGACGAAAGTATCTCTAGTACGCAAAGCTAATTCACCTTTGTTTAGGTGGGATATGGAAAAATGATGCTCATTCAAAAAATATCCTCTGCCCCCCTCGACCCTGCAAGTAAGCTCACTTCCTAACACTGTGACTTGCAATTAATTTTGTATACCTCACAGATGAGCAAAACTGTTGTTCCGTGTGGAACTGCTGAAGACTCAGACATGTTACGTTTGGCATGGGTAGAGATGTGGCACGTGCTATGTGTTGCAAATCATTTGACGACAGTAATCTGGAATGAGTTGTCACCTGCAAGAAGAAATAAGTTATCTGAAGAACTACACAGTGGTCATAGTGGTTATGACAATTAACCGTCTAATTAAATCAAATTCAATGTTATTTTATAATTATTACATGTTGGTTCATTAATTACCGAAAAGAGATCAAATCAGAGCTCACCTGAATTAAACTTCCTATTCCGGAATTCCCTCCCTCTGTTGTCAACACATTTCGTAGAAAAGCTGTAAGACTTGAATGTTCCTGTACTATAAAGTAACTTGTCCAGACCTCGTCTGCTTGCTGAGTAAGGTGTGTAGATGGCAGACGTGCAACAGCATCAGGAGTCGCACATTGTAACAACAATTCTTTCGATTCCTGGAAGAGCTGAAAGGCAAGCAAATGTTAATGGATCATGCAAATAAGGTGTGTGAAAACTAACTTTCCTACTTATGAAGGTGTATTTCCACCACTTTCAGGAAAAAGCATGCGATTCTATGGGTTCATCAATAGTTTCTTTGCTAACAGACAGAGTGGTAAAGAGACGATAGAGAAAAACGGTGTGTTCCTGGAAAACGGAGAAAAGACCATTTCTCACACCAACTCAGATTCTTTCAACGGCTATCATGAAAAAGAGCAGATTGGAAGGAGACTTTGCATTAAATACTGTGCCAGAAACTAAAGAAAAATGAGCTACCAAAAATGGTTAGAATAGCCAACACTGGCTCAAGTTCATCCAAATTACGTCCCACTATACCTTGTCTTGCAAATGTTTATCGCTGAACTCGCTTTCTTCAATGTTGCTGGTTACTTGCAGTACGACGGAAGCTGCTGTGTCAGCATGGTAACCAACAAATGCGTCACCAGGCGAGTACTTCCTGTGAGGATCAAATTACACCGCAAAAGGCGGAAATGAATAAACTTCATTATTATTCATTCAAAATATTTCTCTGTTTCTGACTGGCTAAAATCCCACGCATGATTCATAACCAGATATTGTCGACCAAATTTGGAAGAATTTTGCGACATGAAAAATGACGTCAATCGTGCGGCAAATCGCCAGATTAGTGAACCGTTAACCGAGAAGACCTGGCGACGAATTAAGTTGTTATATAAGTGAGTAGTGAGGGTATTTTGTTAGGGGAAGAGTACGGGAGTTCCTTCCGTAAGGTGAGGATGTTTTGCAGCCTACGAATTTGTCTCTTACATCACGCACATACAAATATATGTTACAGAATTTTTGAAAACGTTACTGTCAAACAGACGTCTTCCATCAAGCAGTTTTGTTTTCGGCCAAAAACGTAGCCAATATAAAAAGTAAGAGTGCAACCATTGCAGTTTTTTTCCCCTCCTTTCTTTCTCCTCGCTCTTTCCATTTTTTCTTTTCCTTTCCTTCGTTAATGTGGTTTTCGGGCTTATCGGATCCAAAAACTTGCCTTTTGGCCCTAACACGCACTAACAAATTCCTGGCTGACTCTCTGTCTTTACCTTAATTGCTGGTGACGAGGGATGTCGACATGAGAGAAGCTTTTTACCCATTCCTGCAACTTGTCCACCAGGAGCTTTTGTGGAGAACTGAGACTTGCTGAAGTCACCAGGTAATGTTTCTCCAAGCGATTAATGAGAGGAATCGGAAACTTACTGTACACAACATTTTTCTCAGCAATGACAATCAATCTGTTTGACAGAAAAAGAATTGGTAAACGTTACTTGAAACAGAATTACCTGTACCAGACCACATCGCATAAGCCACATTATTTATAATGTTTTTGTTATAAAGGAATTTAATGAAGCGACCTAAATTCTTCGAGCGAAAACTTGCGGGCTGCGTTTGGAGCGGTTGAATCGAATCTTTAACATCTAAACGCCATAAACGCTATTTTTATGTACTGTTGGTGTGGCAATTACAAGGAATTACATGTAAGTATTGACAGGCGATATTCACGGGCTGAAAATACTGTCTAAGGACGTTTTACCTGAATTCATCGTGGACGCGACATTTTACTCGGTGACTTCCAAGGCCAAGGTCCACATATTTCTGTCCTCCAAAATACACATAGTACTGGTAATGCAGATTAAGAATAATATATCGCAAACGTTAACGCCGTTATAAAGGTAGTCGATAAAGCTTGATTTAAGCCAAGAAATCTGTGTATCTATTTGAACATTTATTGATGGCGTGATCGACGTAGGAAGTTTTAAAATGTCAAGTAGTAACATGAAGAAGACATTATAAAGAATGACTTGTAGTTATACCGAATGTTGTGTATATAATATTGCTAGCCACCTATACCTGGTTTAGAGCGTCATATAAACTTTCATAGAGGCACTCCAAGTTCAAAAGAATAACAGTTCTTCCCGTTTCCATGCACACTTTAATTCGATTTATGTCACGGCAGATCTGAAACATGAGACGACAACCCAACATAACATTCCACAGATCGCTATAATAGCTAATAGAAGTCCAATGATCATGGGATCATAGCTTAAAGAAAGAACTGATGGACCCTGATGACTTTAACATGATATTTTTCTTTTAAAACAGTAGCAAGCTATCTTGAAACCGACTCCTTTCCAGTACATCTCCATAACGGCTCTATCTCTGCTACTAGACTTTCCTCGGTCCCCAAGGAGAGGTTCAACTGTAGTTAAATGGTTATAAATAAATAAATAAAAATTATTTTTTTATTATTTATTTTATTTACTAGACTTTCCTCGGTCCCCGAGGAGAGGTTCAACTGTAGTTAAATGGTTGGTTAACTGCAAGAGGTTTTATGGGGCGCAAAGTAAAATGCACGCCATTGCCCTAAAATATTGATGTCTTCAACGATGTTTCTGCTAACTCTTTTGTCTCTTCCATTGAGGCCTCTTCGTGTCTTATGGAGACTGTGAAAAGAAATAAAAGAATGCGCGCAAAGGACGAAAGGAAGGGCTTTTGGGCTTACCGTGCACTTACTATTATACACTCGGTGGAGGAGAGAGCAAGTCTTGTTACTGAAACAGTCTAATTAACGAAACATCCATCTCACGAGTAACAACACTTTTAATTACTTTTTAATACAGCTGTTAGTACCTGAGTGTATTCTTGGTCCTTCGGGAAGTTGCTGCCGAAAATTACGACAGGTTCTTCGCCTTTTTTGTGCATTTCCTCCTGAACAATAGGCAAGGCTGCATAGTTCTCTGTTAACACCAACAAGTATCGACTCTCTCTGTTAAAATGAAAACTTCGAGTGAGAACAAATTTTACATCGTGCAATCAGAGGAAAGTTGCCTATTTCTAGCGTTTGTCCGTAAATGATAAGCGGAGTTGGTCAATTTACAGTCTTGTGCAAAAGTAATAAGAGCGAAGTTCGTCAAATTCCGTCCTTTACCTGCATTGCTTTGAATCGCTACACTGTAGGTTCGCTACTTTCGATCGCCTGAGATTGCCGGGATTGTTCATCACAGCGCTCTTTGCTACAAATTTCATAAGATCACTACACTAGTTCATAACGATCTGCTTCGCATTTATAGCTTAACAAACATTTAACTTCTTTCTAAAACTTTACCATGGAAACACACAATCTGGTTCGAAAAAGATCAGTACCACTATTTGCCCACAACACGGACAACCAAGTTAATAAAACGTATCTGGTCTTTTAGACTCAAACTTACCTATTCTTAAACTACCGATTGCAAGTTACTTGAGGGAAAGGCCACTTACAGTCCGCATTTAACTTCCTTCTATTTTACCGCAATCTTCAGAAACTTCTCAACAAAGAAGCGCTCCCAAAAGATTTACCGCTAAAATAAACTCGAATAAGGAAATTTGCATATGGTTACTTGTAGCCGAAACCATCGCTCGACCTGCAGTTAAGCATTTTCTCTAATTTCAGCGTAACTGAGCTAATAAATCGATTCCTGACAATCTATTTTTTCTGCATTAACATTGCTTCTGTCTTAAAGCCAAGTTAATTTATACAAAAGCAAAATTTTAAAGCTTACATGTAAGACTCGATCGTAGCCTTGATCTCACTTTGAAATGACATATGTGTGAGAAAAAGCAAAGTCTTGTGAGTCAGGAATAATCTCAGCAATAAAATTTCACAAGTTTGAGCTTCAATTCCCTTCCTTTGTGTCAGCGACTTGTATTCCAAGCTTCCGAAGTTTATGTTAAAAACATGAAAGTTCGAAGAACAATTCGAACGACTTTACACGGGACGTTCCCATCCGGCGTTGTTTTAAACTTTGTAGTGATCGTTTTACTCAGTTTTGGAGGGAAGACGAAAACAAACAATGACTGCCATAAGCGTGATTATTTTAGAGAATTCGCTTACACGAATTAAGAATTTAGTAAGCACAGTAAACAGGCAACAGGTTTCCATCATGTACGTTCACGACTGTTCTCAAAAGTTTTTTCTGAAGGGTTTCGACAGTTTTTAAAAGTGAATCTGCGAACAACAGACAACAATATCGAGTAAACCTCGCGTTCATTTAGTAAGATTAAAACACAAATAACTTAATACGTAAATTAACAAGTGTTGTTCCGTCTGAAATTTTCTTCACAACATTTTCTTCTTACTAGGGTTCGTGTTGTTACTGGTGCATGTACATGTAAGGTCTGGTTCGGTATTATTGATACTATCGGTAGGATCCTTCAAAAGCGGATTGATTGAAAGCCACGTTCACTTATCGTAGCGATCCGTTTGCGACGCGATCGCTAAGATAGAATACAATTTATTGTTCCTGTTTCTTTTGCTCAACAGCGCTTTCTATGCTTGTTTCGACTCGTGATTTTAGAGCGTCCAAATATTAAATGGTAGGCAAAAAGAATCCATATGAATCTGCTTTGTAAGCGATCACAATTGAAGTCACATTTCGCTCGTTGCTTTAAACAACCGTGCCCTGGTTAGTTAAGAACTTTTCAATAACAAAAGTTCGTTTCGCTCACACACATTTCGGTTCATTGAAGCGAAATATCGTTTAACACGAGCCGAAATTTAGTTGATGACTGGAAATTTCGTGAAGCTTTCTCTAAATTTCGCAACGAAATTTTGGTTCATGCCGCGAACTTTCGTTTCGGTATCCGAAATTTCGCAGGGACTAGCTGCGCCGAAATTTCGCTGAATTTTCGTCTGAAACGAAAGTTCGCTATTTGTTCACCGAAAATCGCGAAATTCGGCGAATTTCGGCAAAGTTTGCTCTCATTTTTTTTGCACATTACTGTATCTTGTTGACTCTCTTACCCGCCGGAGATTTGGCGTTCGAGGCTGGCTTTGATAAGGTTTACCGCAGAGAATGCATCTTTATTTTGCTTGTCCTACGAAATGAGTAAGAACGCAAAGAATCACAAAAAACTGTGGAGAAATCTCTGTATAGTTGCGGAAACTTTGTACTTAGATGCCGAGTATTACTATTATAGCCTTTTCGAGGAAAAGTACATTTACACCCCAGTGACGTTACCGTGCAAACGCGTAATTGTAGGAAATCGACTTGGAAGGTTTATTACTAACTGACGTAATCGACAGCTATAGGCTATTTGCACTAAGAGGTCATGTGACATCATTTTTATGAAAATGAAAGTTATATGATTTTGCCTTCAAAAAACCATTGGTGGGTCATATCTTAAACAAAATAAATACCTCTTATTAGCCGAGTGTTCGGTCCGTACTGGAAATTACGGACCGAGTTTTGTTTCCATCGATTTATGGCCCGCGCGCTTCGCGCTTGGGCCATAAATCGATGGAAAAAAAAGAGGATCCATAATTTACAGTACGGACCGAAAAAACGAGGCTAATAAGATGTTTATTATATGGCTTCTCCCTGTTTGGGAGACCGGAAACAAGTGCGGGACGCACGATTTGACAGTCGTTTGACAGGCGTCAAAAAAGAAAGTTTTTATTGGCGCACGAAAACAATAGTACAGAACAAAGGCTTTCGAGAAAGTAAAAACCAATTCGCCATGTTGAAAAAGTTTATTCGGTAAAAACTAAGAGCACTGTAAGTTTTAGCTATTTAATGTAACGCTGGAGTATTTTGGAAACCGGACACTGAGTCTGTCTAGAAGTCACTTCCATCTTTCCTCCGATTGTCCTTGTAAAAAAAACACTGCA